GTTTGACAAAAAAGATCTTAATTGAAAAAATTCTAATGAAAAATTTTGAAGAAACTTTAGCAATTTTTTTTCTTGTAATTAACCGATTGTCTGGGATGTTATAAAAAGAGAATGATGAAGGGGATAGTAGCTGCAATAACAATATTTCGTGACAATAAGAAGAATAAAAAAAGAGGAAAAAAGAGGAATGTAGAGAAAAAGGATTAAACCAACAGAAGCAGTGTATAATAAGAGAAACTTGTAGGGATAAATTTGATTGTCTAATTGGAAAGAACGGTCTGTTGAGACGTAGACAAAAATTTACAGTTACTCCACAAAAGTCTGCAGCTTATTGCTTTTTACCTGCGCACATCAAAACCTTAAACTTTGCTAAAAATTTTTTTTAGAAAAGAGTCATAAAAAACAATAAAAACTGCTAATTTGAAAAGTTCTCAACATTCTACAAAATTGAAGATATCCAGACTTAGATATCCAATTTTCTCAACAATAGGTTTTATGTATTCATAATTGTACAAATTTTTTTCTCAAAGAAATAGCTCCTATCTTTCAAAAAAAATTATGGTCTGTTAAAGAAGATCTTGCAGACTCAGAGTGACACAAAATAACTTCTTATCTAAATTGTTTAATTTTTTTATTGTAATCAAAATGTTTAGTATGACTTTATTACGCAGTGCAATACCTCATCTTTTTTTAAGAGTCTTTAACAAAGTTGTTCCGAATTTTTCTTTGTATTTTTTGATTCTAAACGGTACTTTTCTGCAGTATTCCTTACATCGGCATTTCAAAAGCCTATGTAGATTGCTTTGCAAAGGGTTCATTTTGAAACCAGTTTTACCTTTCGATAATAAAAACCTATTTTTGCCATTAAAGTAACAAATGGTTTATATCTATCTACTTTTTTGTTTTCATTTCTGGGTTTTTATTTGAGAACCGCTTTTCAAAACATGAAACACTGCAGTTCAAGAAGAGATCAGTTTTGAAGTACTGAAAGAGGTTCTAACTGTGCTGAGCACGGGTCCAGGAAGTCATACAGTTGGTGAACCTACTGAGTATGCACTGTGACACTTTTTCTTCGCTTCTACTGCAAACAAATGGCGATGGGCTTTTGACAAGAAAGTTTCATTCTAGAAGCTATGCCAAAAATGGTCTTTTTAGCGCAAGCTTTCTCTCAAATTTTGGTTCTTGAAAGTGGCTGTCTCAGAGGACGTTTGCTTTACAATGATTCATTTCTGTAAACGAACGGCAAAATATGTCTACACCGTCTCAAACATTCAATAAATTTTTTAATTATCTAGGACAGCGTTGCTTTTTCTTTTTAAGAAGAAAAACGGATGAAAAATTATGTATTTTAATTTCGAGTAACGAATTCGGAAAATC